TTGAATGTCTTTTTCTAATTATACAGTTCTAGTTATTTTGCCATATATATACATAGTCTTTAATTTTATATATTTATTTCATAACATCTAATAAAATCGTGCCAAGGTGTGAACTGTCTCGTTTTGTCTTTTTGTGTGATGAAATTTTCTCAGAATGTGTTATTAATTGTATAATTGTATTTTATTTATGATTTTTTATACTGATATTATTATTATTAATTTATTTATTAATCATAACAATTGATGTTATCTGCAAATGTACACGCGGGTGAAGTCGTGGTAACCACTAGTATTTAATAATATAATTACACATAGGTATGTCATAGGTACTACTATCGAAATACTAGCATTAAAAAGTCAGCATTTGCGTCATTGGTTTAGTCATAGAAACAAAAGTGTATCGATGCACAGCAAGAGAGCCTTTTTCACATCCCTGGGTATGCGTTTATAAATATCACGTTGTTATATCCGGATATATTTGGCCAATACACAATTTTACTTTGTTAATCATAGACCTATATTTTTGGCAGTTGAAAATTGATCGATCACAGTTCGGAACTTATTTTATTGACTGATTACTTGGAAGTACAACGAACGGCGCAGGTGCTATTAGCCATACTAATTTATTAATAATACATCAAGTGCTTTATTTTTAGTTTGCTAAGCTAATCTTATAATGCTTCCGCATATAGGAGTATGTATTATATATATTATAATTATTATTACAATATTTTATTGTATTTCTGAGAATTTGAAAAGAAAAACATTTATTGTTTCTTTCTTAGATAATAATCCATACATATTTTAGAATACAATATAATAATATAAAAAAGGAATCAATAATTCGCAACAAAAACGCCGTATGTATATACATATGTATACATACAAAAATTTGTACCACAACTTAGCAAACCTAATGTGTAGGAATTTGACTCGATAGCTGAATTTCAGTTTACCCACAGTTATGTTACGGATCTCAACATCTCACTTACAATTTACAATTAAAAATACAAATAATAATAAATAATTTAAATAAAGGATATAATAATCTTAAGTAAATTCCACTTGACCAAAATCTTAACAATTCACCGGCAAGCTATAAATAATTATTAAGAATGTAATAGCCGTCAATATTCTATTGTTTATTTTTTACTTCTTACTCGTCAAGTAACCTATGATGTAGCTAACGATTGAGTACTAATATTATAATAATTGTAATAAAAATACCCTTTTTTTTAAAAAAACCATCATTAGTTGACTGTAGTTTCCGATTACAAACATATTGCATCATTGCATCTTTATACAACGCATTAATTTAAAATAATGAAACTAATAGAGAAAGTTACATTTTTTGGAGTCAGTTAAATAATCTAAAAATTTGGCACTGCAAAGATTATGAGACCGTTACAACGAGACGTTTAGCTAAAAAATACTGATATATGCTGTTTGTTGTATAATCTATAGATAATAATATATTCTTCGGACAGTTTTTTTTTATTGAATTCTATTCCTGTACATATTAATCCTATTTTGTTTCCTCACTTCCTGAAATATTTGATTGTTTCTCATGGTTACCAGCTGGAATATGATATTTATATCATTTATTTTACATTTAATTTTGCATAACAATTAAATGTAAAAAAAGCTTGAATGTCTATTTTCTGGTACATTAAAGTAAATTGATCACAGAATATAACTTATAGGGTTTGCACAAAATTATTCGTGATCATACTATGAATTCGGTCGAAGACACTCTAGTTATGCGGCATTGAGCACGCCAATTTAGGAGTTGTTTTCATCTATGCCAGTGGTCTCCCATATCGTTACGTCGTCTACACCAAGAGTTCTCAAAGTTATTGTCTTATCTATTTCTATTAATTTAGTAAGTGTGCTTACATTTCTAGAAATAAATATCACAATGTATTTACTAAAATATTAATACGTGAAATAAAAATTTGTACCCATTATCACAAAAAAAATACAGGAGCAGATGAGTATAAAATTAGACAGTTTTAATTTATATGAAGAAAGCTAATATTTCTTTAATAATGGTACTTAGAAATACATTAAATTGATAAAAAAATAATACACATGCTATGCTATTGACACACAAAGGCATACATTTATTCTTTCACACTAGAACCTTAAACTCTAAATTTATTATATGGTCGAATATTGACCACTAGTGTAAATTATCCTGCATATCGCTTACAGAATGTAAGTTGTAAGTGCTTGAGCACTTCGGTTCGTTGTTGAGTCCTTTAGTTCGTTATTATAATGATAAATGTTAATGATGATGTATAGGGATGATGAGTAATAAATAAAAGATACGTGCGTTTGTGAGTATTCATTTCATACTTATTTGTTGTTTTTCAGTAAAAAAATATACAAATACGAATTTAAAAAATGCTACAAATTATGTATGGAGAACGTGCGGTTAAATTGTTGTATAAATAAACTAGCTGATCTGCGCAACTTCGTCTGCATCACATTTATCATTATATTTCGCCAAATTTACATTATACCCTATGTGTTACTTTAATGTGTGAGCTATATTACTGTAAATGTTCATCAAAATCCGTTCAGTTGTTTTTGCGTAACAAACATCCATCCAACCATAACAAACTTTCGCGTTTGTAATATTAGTAAGATTATATTGACATACAATATCGTATGGTTTTTCGTGAATTACAAGTAAGTGTCGACTCCTAGTGAAAATTTTAACATCATTATTTTATGTCTTGTCGCCGTACGCTGTGCCTGTCGGTAGGGGATTGCCATTGATAAGTCTTTTTTCCACACCGATTAAACGAATTCAAATTTCACTTCGGGTCGTCCGCTGCTCGTTGCGGACCGCAGGGACGAAAAAAAAAAACGAATTACATGAGTTATGCGTTTGATGTTTAGTTTATGTTTCATTATATTATAAACTCTTATAGTGTTAAATAGTAGACATCATCACTCATATTATAAAAATAAGCAGATTCCAAAACTAACAGCGCCTACATTATTATGTAGCCGCCGTTAGCGGTGGTTACCAGTTCTTACTGCTAACCGCCGGTTTTAATATGAACAATATACATCCGGAATTCACTGTTAACTCATGGATAATAACAAAAGTTAGGAATTCTTTAGAAGCATTGTGGTAGATATATATCAGTTGATTTTCTTCCAAAGTAGTAATAACATAATATTTATATATAATATAATAAGTGAAACTTGTGGCGTAGAATTGTTTGGTTATTATTATTACTGCTTACTGTTTTTGTAATGTTTAGTGCACTGAAAGTAAATATAATAAAACGTTTGTCTATCTATCACGTATATAACGTCACTAATGTACTACAAACTTTTTCGCGTGTGACACGTACTACTTAGTCCTCACAGGTTAGTAAAACTTTGACAATCTCTGGTCTGTGCCATAGTTGATGCGTGCAGCAGGAAATCTGGACTTCCGCTGTCTAGGATGTTAACCTGGCTAGACAATGAATCGCTAATAACACATTGTCTGTCTGTCGTTATAAAAGTAATGGGTGCGTAGTTATCAATTATTTATGGTCTACTGAATCGTTGCACTTTTTTCTCCAGTCTACGTAACACATACTAATAACATTACCGAGTAACTTATTTGAATTCTGATGTTTTTCATTTATCGCAATTGTTTAATGCAATTTCTACGTTAAAAGATAAGTAAGTGAGAATATTGTTATTTCGAAATTTCGATTTTCTGAAAAAAACTTGATGGGATTAAAATTTCAAAACTCAGTGTTGATTTTTTTGATAGACTCGGTGGTTTAGCACGCAGCATTCAAATAGTTCGATTATCTGACAATACAAACAAACATAATGCAAAATATATGCATGCAGTTGTATAGCTCTATGTTTTGTTCTATGTATATTACGAGTATGTATATATTTACAAACTCTGCTTAATTTGACCAGATGGCACTATGACAATTGTCCTGAGTTGTCATTATTTCATTTATTAAGGTTCATTAAGTCTAAAATCAATATTTGCAATTTAAGTACCACTTAAATATTTTCAGTGAATAAATTTACAACTTCACCGCCTGATTACATTGTTAATTGTAGTGTAAGTGTGGTGGAAAACTTATTTTAAATTAATAAATAAATTATCTTAAATTCCACAAACGAGGTACAGGTAAATTTAATAATGTAAATAAATGTACGATCAACACATTTCTGCATTTATATGTATGTATGTAGTTTGTTGCACCAAGAATAGTCAATGTTTTCTGACATTCAATCTCATTATATACGTGTACTATTAAAAGTATGGTCCATATATCCAATACAGAAAAAATCCTTCTACCAAGCGTTGTTATTTTAAGCCGTACTTCGTACTTGTAAAAACATATTTGAAACATACTGAATGTTTCAAATACGTATATTTATGAATCTGACTGTACAGTACCCCAATAACATAAAACTTCATATAGATCTGTTACCGATTCAAAGCTGTGCAGGAGAGAATTCATCGAATTTATTACATTTTGCATATATAAATTTCAGTCTGTGGAATATCCTCAGCATTCAAAAAGCTGTAATTCGGTCTGTTTGTTTTCATTCACATTGAGACGTCCCGGCGGTTTCGGTTGAAGTTTTGCAGAAGCAAATCAAGAAAGCCAAAGAGAAAATTAATTTATTGACTTTGGTATACATTATTTATTTATCTCAAAGTAAGCGAGATTGAAAGTTGCCCATTATGCTCACACAAGAACGTACAATAAGAGGTTCTCTATAGTTTACTTTTAGTGATAAGGCCGTCCTTTTGTTGAAGCATATACTTACAAAGTTTTATTATGTGCATATTTTATAGCAAATAGTGCATAACAGTGTTATACTATTTCTATTACAAGTTAATTATATTATTCGCTTCCAGCGGGTAGATATAACGAAAATGAAATGCTGTTTAACTTAAATTTCTTTTTGTAAACGAATATTATTATGAGAATTGAATCTTTTGACTTTTGTTTCAGGTGCCCTTAATAAGCAACGAAGGCAAGGTGGGTCTCGGAGCAGCCTCGACGACGCCGTGTGTGCCTCCTAAGAAAGTCAACCGACTGGGATCAGCGACATTGCGACTGGCGAACAGGAGCAAAATGTTAAAACCACCAGCTAAAGCTTTTCAAGCTGAAGATGAGGATTCTGAATAACTATTCCATACTCCTATATTATAAATGCGTTTGTGTGTCTGTCTGTTATATCGACTAAACGTCAGAACGGTACTCAATGTAATAATGTTGTAATTCTAGAACGAATATAGACTATATCTTATTTAAAGAACTTAATCTGAAAGGTGTCATGTAAGATATGAAAGTTTATGCATAGTAAGTTACAGAAAAGTCCTAGAAATTACTGTAAAACAGTGTAGGGATGTGGGATTTATTATGCCTAACAACTATATTTTAGTTACTTAGTCGAAACTTGTAAATAGTTAAATTTTAAATTTGCTCTATAAATTATGAAATTAATGTTTAATTATTATTATATAAAAATATATGCTAAGATTTTTTTGCTGTTTTTCATTTAACTCCGCTATTTTTCCATAATATCTTTTCAAAAGCATTCAAAAGTTATGAAGTATATGAAGATATCAAATTTACGCAGTAAATATCGGAAGCAAACTTTCAAATATATGATTTATGTAAATGAAAATAATCTGAAAAAAATTTATACCAGAATAGACTTCACCTATTTCAGCCGCTTGCTATGTAAATTGTATTTACATTGTCGATATGGCAGTGAAATAACAAGATAAGAGACATGACATCTTAGTCAGAGGACTGAGTAAGATGTCATGTCTCTTATGTTGTTCCAGAGGGAACAACAACGCAGTTGTATAACTGGTGTCACATGATAACTTAACGTGTATATAGGTGACGGTTACCGTCAGGTGGAACGGTGATGTGTTTACCATTCATTGAAAAATTCATTCACAATTAAAGTGGTTACTTAGAAAAGATTTCAATAACTTTACAAGCATCCCGCTTATTAAGTAAACTACACACAACTCCACCATATATTTTCACAAATTGTAACACCAGCGTAATAACTCAACATTAACGTCGCCATTAACTGAAAAGCAACAATTAATGCAACCTCGACTTGTGGAATTAGAGTAAATGACACACAATACCTGGTGTCCATTACGTTTCCTAGAAATAGCTATTAAAGGGGTCCACTGGCGGAACATCTATTCCGCCTCCCGTATGTTCACTTTGTAGTATAGCTGCCAGGGTTTACACAGTACTGATCTGATGCAGTTGTTTAATATCCGAAGTAAATCAATATATTGAACTGATTTAAACTACCAAACAGCTTGATTTGTTAGCTGTGTTGCGGTTGAAATTACACTGTACTGAGGTATTACAGAGGAGTACTCTGTAAAGGCAACACATGGCGTGATGTCAATTGTGCTCTATCTAAACAACTGAATAATTTTTTCATTCAAACATTTGAATTAGAATTAGTATTATTGCATATTGATTAATTTTTATTTATTATAATTAATGCAAATAATAAAAAAATCTGAAATTCCTTTATAAATACCGGTAAAATAGCGTGACTATTAAAATTATACTTGCCGACATTTCATTAAACTTCGCTAGGAACTAGTGTCTGCAGTGAGAATTAAACTGGGATGTAGTTTAGACTTCGCGTGTCGCTGATGTCACAGAATATGCATATTCAATAGAATAGAAACTTCTTGTATTAGGATGTGATTAGTATACCGTAATATTACTATAAACTTTTCGTTTTATATACCTGGTTGTTTCGATGTGCGTCTTTTTATCGTGCAGTTTCTCCGACCATTTTATAATATACGGAAATTGTATAAAGCTTCACGCATAGCTTTTGTCTATCTCTATCCAATAGTATCTAGATAAAGTAAGGTAGATAAGGAGATAGAAATAAATACAAGAGTGATATTTCTTTCTACTATGAGTAACATTCACCAACAAAATGTTTTTTTGGAGATCTTAATAACGGAGTACCTACTATGAATTCCATGCAACTGAGAGCACAAATTAGAACAAAGGCTTATTATATTTATATATGACAGCATTTTTTTTATATAATTGGGATTGAGATATAACACCGCAGACGGCATACCTGATGGAAAGGCAAATGAGTACAAGATAAGCAGGTGTAAGTGTCTCGTTTAGGTATAAATGTAAAAAAATATAAGAAATTGGTCTAAAATTTGCATAAGCTAATATTAAATAGTTTAAATAATAACATCGCTTTCAGCTAAAATTATAAAATAACAATTCTTTAGTTTTGTACTGTACGAATAGGTTCATCTTATGTAGATATCAACTACATATTATGCCATTGCCATATTTTTTACACGATATCTACGTGTTTTAAGTCGCAATAACATATTTTAAGGACTTTATATCTTCAAGCACTGCCTGTCCTTTCTGTTGTTTTGTACTCTGCGCCGGTATCGCGAACTGTACCTAACCAACAACATGCACTTTCTGCCACCATGTGATTATGGCGGCGGAAACGAAACGGGCAGCTTTCAATTGTGGTATGTGATCACGCACACCGCAAAAAGCTAATGTCCATCGACGTCGCAATCGGTGACGAGTTTTGAAATGACAGGATGCCGGATGACTTGGAATACCGAATTGGCGGAATCTAGATTAATAGAGGTGGTACTCAGATTACATTACTATCTATTTATCTACGTATTATATTAGTATCTATTTGTAAATTAGATTAAATCTTATTAATATCAGAAATCTTAAAATATGTAAAGAGACTTGGACTTGTTACTAAATCGCTCTTATATTTTCGGGCAGATATAAATAAAATTTGGCATAGAAATCTGACATCAATACAATAACATTTTATTATAATCCACCTGTGAATTTGGAGAGAATATCTGTACCTATTAATTTTTAATATTTACCTATTAATATAAAGTATTGAAGAAGTTTCGCATCTTAGTTAAAGTATTTTGGAATTTAATATAATTTTAATGACTTCGTTACTCTAGCGTTTTAGCATACTGCCTTACCGGTGCTCACGGGTTTGATTTTCGCCCGATACAACGATTTGTATTCATAAATAAGATTGATTATACAGGTTTAAGTGGTTTCTAAATACAAGTTGAAAAATACTTATTAGTTGTTTAAAAGTATATAGCTGTACCCAAGTCTAGTTCTGGGTTATTATTACGTAAAAATATAGTAGACTAAAAAAGACAAAATATTGGGAACATTCGTACATAAACAAAACCATAAAATATGTTGGAACGTTGCATAAAAACTAGGATGAATACGTAGTTCTAAAAGCCCGCACATAATTACCTAGATAGAACTTGTTTACCTATAAGTTGCATTAACATTTCGTTGTACGGTAGGTATTTTCTTTCTTTGTATCTATGTCATGCTTTAATAATAATCTTATTTCGAAACCCTTATTCAGAAACCTACTTGACTACGTATCCCTTAATAGCATTATCTACTTCATGTTAAATAACTATATTTATTCGTTCACCCGGTCTTTAAATATAACATTATCATAATTGCATAACATTTTAGCCAGCAAACACGAAAAGCAACTTTTCAGTGTACAGATAAAGCTATCAGAAGCATAAGTAGAACTCTATAATAAAGTCCATATGTCTCACGATAAGATTCAACGGGACAAGTTATCCCAAAGTGCCTTCCATTTGCACATTAACAATGATTTTTATGCGCGTTCGTATGGCGTTGAACACGCAATGTGTTTAAATAAATTAACCAGTTCATTCAAGGTGTAAACGAAGCTACTAATAGTACCTATTGCCATTCAAATATGACTTCTTATTAGTGCTACTACTAAATATTAATATGAACACCTTGCTCTCACATTTTAGTTCTCAGAAACTGTTGTGTATTAAATATTAGGTAAATACAGTCAACAAGGCATTTGCGACAACTAATCAACAGATTTCATTAATACTCACTTAGGTTCACATATACACTCGTTTTATTGTATGTAAGTACATGATAAGTTGAAATGAAAGGTATAGTTTTCAAACTTTTAAAGTACTGAGAACCCATGAAAATGTCTTTCAACAAATATTTTTAATTAAATTATTCTGAATAAATATATATTTTCACTAATTAATGTTTTAATTTTTTCATTTCATTTTAGCTAGTATCTATTACCTATATACATACTAGAAGACTAAGCCATTTACACAAATAACAATAAAGAAATTAGATTAATTTGGATTTCAAATTAACAGATATTCTGATATTCACAAATCAGATCAACAAACATTGAGAAAATAGCCGTACCTAACTGCCAGATGTTCAGACTGGGAATTTTCGTAAAATAACATCAGTTTTCAATCTGAAAGGTCAGGGTGACCGAAGTCCGGCAGGTGGCGCCTGGCCATTAGTTATGCGACGGGTACTGGTGTCTGCTACGCTTCCTGTGCTCCCCTCCCGTATCCCTGTATCTCTTTTGCACCCAGACCACAACACCCCAGTTCAGTGATACCAGATTGGGAAGAAACTTCCGAAATTTGAGGGGATTTGTCGCGAAAAAAAATTTAAGTAGGAGAAAAGTGGATGATTTTGAAGTACGTAAATGTAGGATGCTTGCAACTTAAAAAGATAAAAGGAAAAATAATGAAATAAATAAAATGCACAGACTTTGTCATATATTCATTAAAAAAATAATTTTAGGAAAAATTTGGAGGGAAAGCAAGAAAGTCGTCTAGTAACACAGTTTGAAAGCCTCGAACAATTATCCGCGTAATGTTTAGGCTGGACACTACATGAATTATTTTTTATACACAAGTATTAATACTTGTGTATAAAAAATAATTTAGTAAACTCTTTAAGCAAGGTCAATATGTGAAGGAATTGGATTTTTTGGTCGTTGTCTATAGGTATGTATATGTAGAATTTAGAGTAATTATAAAATTTTATATACTTATTTAAGTATTTGACATTCTTAAAGCAGGCACATTCCGCGCTCATCGCATTAAACTAAATGCAAATCCTTATAAAAAAAGATTTATGATTTATATATATATATATATATATATATATATATATAATAAAAAAACAAGAAATAATAAGTACCAAATCTACTTCTATTTATATTCTAGTTGGTTTTTTAATTTTTTGCCATATATGTATGTTCATTATTATATGCAAATAAGTAAGTACTTATGTCATGTGAATCAAATATTATGTGAATCAAATATATATTAACCAACTACCAATTTTATAATTTTTTTTACAGTTTATTATTTGTACATTCTAACTTTACTATTATTTTTATTTTTAATCAATTATAATATGCGAATTTTATTGCTTGTGCACATACTTGATAAATATCGGCAACAAACTTTAAAGATTAAATCGACCAAAGATAATAGCCACTAATAGTAGAAGTGTTATGATATTATAATAACTGTAACAAAACTATCTAAAAGTTAGAAAAAACAATTTTCTCAAAATAGGAAATTATTTTCTATACTTGTAGTAAGTACATAG